TCAATTAAGACTCAGGACATATGAGAACTTGTACTGTAACGTCATGCAACTCGGTAGTGTCCCAAATTTTCTGATCAAGGACATTATGGGGCCAAAGAGGAAAGTGATCAATGATGTAGAGTGTGCCTAAGAAGAGTCACATGGAGAGAAACCATTCTCTCAGGCTTTCACAGAGAGCACATTGGCCAAGCAATAGCAATGACTCATCCACATGGCTGACACTGACAAAGGTTCTACAATCTGAGGTACAGGATCTCAGGATAAATCCTGAAGAGATTTCACTGACCTTATCAGACCCAAAAACTACAACTCTTGGTGCATATGCCCTGTTTTACCTTGGTCTTAACCATCCAGTAGCAAAGTATAAAAACAAAATATAAGAAGTAAAGCCATGCTGTTATGTTGAGCTGTTGGGGACTTGGGTCAACAATTTCTGACATTGCCAGTTAAGCGGAAGACCCAATATTATTATGGGATACTGGACTCTTTTGGAATATTTTGCTGAGTTTACACACCTATAATATTCAAATAATGGAACTTAACAAAAAAAGGGTATACAGATGAATGTCCATTTTGTATCTCTGTATTCAAAGTGGTTAGGATAGATATATGGTTACATTCTCTTAATGAATAGAATTATTTGTTCTAATGGTGTTTGTAAATAGGATATCAAGTCTGCATCTTGTACAGCAATTAACCACTAAGAAGAATGTATGCAATGTGTTAATTATTGAAACTGTCCTACCGATTTGATTTGAAACTGTCTCATTGCTATTTGTTTATCAATAAAATTATGTCAAAAAATAATTAAAACCTTGCAAAAAAAAAAAAAAAGCTATGGTGGCCCAGGGATGAGGCCATCAGAGAGCAGTGGTGGGACCACACAGATCAGGGCTGAAACTGCTGAAGCACGAATAAAGGAGGCACAGGGAGAGAACCACCATGCCCCCGGAGTTCGAGCAGCCATCCCACTTTATGCAGCACTCTGGTCTGTAGAGAGGAAGCACCTTCTGCTGTTTCTGGGATTCACGGACTTTTGTGCCCCATGGGGTCCTGTCTCTTGCCCTCCTCCTACCTCATGCTCTATAGCCAGGGTCATCCCTAGTTTCATTTCACATTAGTTCAGGCCTCACCCCAGCAATTTCCCTCCTTTCCCCAAAGCCAGAACTCACTGATGGATCCCCAAGGTTTGAGCAGAGCTCCACCCAGCACATCAGGTACCTTGGGGGTTCCACTCTGTTCCCTCACCTCATCCTTCATCATGTGGCTAAGATGTGCACACCCATCAGGGCCCTCAGAGCAGTGGTTCTGTACACTCTCCACAGTACAGGTCCTTGCTGTTATGATTTGTATCTAGATGTTCCCCCAAACTTTATGTACTCATAGGGTGAGCATGGGCGAGTGTGTACTTATAACTAAGCGTGATGTTATGAACTGAAGCCTGGCAGGAGCATGTGTGCCACTGGGGGCGTGGCCTGGAGAGTTGGTTTCCCTCCTGCTTCCTTGATGCTTCTCTGCTTCCTGCTGCCTTGCCATAAGCTGCTCCTCCTCTGTGATGGCCCTCTGCCGTGCCAGCCTGCCTTGGACCCAACACTTAGAGAAGGAGCCCTCTACAAATTGTGAGCTACAATAAACTTTTCCTCCTTTAACTTGTGGGTGTTGGGTATTGTTTTTTAGCAATGAGAAAATAACTAAGCTGCTTGCCCAGAGAGTGTCCTCTACAGGATTCCCAAAAGAGCCTTCCCACTTCCCCATGGTGTCCCTCCGGTTCCAGGATCTGACTCGCTGGAGCATGGGGACACAGGGCACAAAGGTACAGCAAGAACAGCAGGCACGAGCACTGGCCACCCTCCATGTGGGGCACAGAGCTACAGGCAGGTGCACACAGCACCTCTCTGAGCTTCAACACAGCAGAGGAGATGAGACATGTGATCTTACCATGGGGCTCAGCCCTGTGGACAGGGAAAGGGTGAGGCCAGGCAGGGCCCAGCACAGCTCTGCCTGCAGCCCCCACAGTCCCGGCCCCACCTGCTCTACAGGGAACAAGAGACCCCCAGGGAAACTGAGTCACCATGACATTTTCAATCAGGTTTCCAGAGGTTGGTTCCCCCAGAAGTTCAGGAATGCTGGGGGCTAAGTGAAGCTGAGCCACCCTCACACCATCACGCATACTCCAGCCTGCACACCTGGGACTCCTACCAGCTTTGCTGACGCCCCCAGCTATGCGACACAGAGGCCGAGACCAAAGCTTAAGTACAGACAGAGAGGCATGGGAGCAGCTCGATCCTGGTTCTGCCCAGACTCAGGATAGGAAGTCAGTCACTGCAGGCTCCTGACCCTGTCCCTAAGCAGGACCTGGAGGGCAAAGCCACCAGCGGGGAGGAACCACAAGAGCAAGACCCAGCAGCACTGTGGAGCAGGGGTGGAGCAGGGCTCACTTTAGCCATAAACTCCAGCCTTGTCCTGGGGACTGTCACCCCCAAGCTGTCTGCTGAGTCTGTACTGGAGGAGAGGAAGGTAGAGGGTGGCCCCAAAGATAGCAGGTGACATTCTTGAGAAGCCTCCCAGGAGCCTCTCTCCATGTCCTCCCACTGCTCTGGGTACTGCTGCTCTCAAGGACTTTACAGATTAAACTAAGGGTAGAAACCAGCTGGCCTTAAAGTAATGGGAGCAGAAGCCCAGTAGGGTGGCACACCTGCAGCCCTGGCCCCCTGCAAGGGCGAGGCAGCAGGACTGTAGCAGGGCACCAGGGCCCATGGGAACTTGAAGCCTGCGCAACTAGATTTGGTGGTGGAGCAAGGGTTGCTGGGTGGCGGCCTCTCTTGAGACCTGAGAAAAAATATGCTGAGTGACAAACAGCAGGGATGGAGCCTCAGACACATGATGCAGACCTCCATCCTGCGAGCAGCTCAGGAGCTTGGGTGGACTGCTTTCCAGGGCATGGTCTTCCCTGCCAGGGAATCACTGTCTTGCACAAGCAACCCTTTGCAGGCACAGGCAAAGAAAGGGCTCCATGGGAGAAACCTGGAGCCCTCATTTCCACTGCCTGGGTGTTTCGGAAATAATTGCTCTCTTGGATGGGTGTGTGAGGACACCCACACATCCCAAGGCACATGTGCATGCTCACATGCGCGCGCGCACACACACACACACACACACACACACACACACACGTGTTGCAGCTGTATCTTAGTATCCATTTTTTTAATTATGTGCAGGGAGCACCAGGTAATTCCATAACTAGTACAAAATGAGCCTGACCATAACACGTCCTCACCACCGGTGTCTGCCTGGCCACTCTAGGCTACTGAGTTTGGTTCCTAGGGTTCCCTCCTTGGCTCAAAGAGCAGTAGGGGTGACAGGGAAGCAACTGAGGGGAGAGTCGAGATGATCAGGGGACAGTGGAGGCAGCAAGGGGGAGAACCCAGCTCTCTGGGTCCCAAGCAGCGAGCTCCAAGGTCCAGCCAAGAGAGTTGGTGGCAGCAGCCAGCAGGCTGAGCATTGTGGTCAGGCAGCTATGGAGGTGAAGGCATGAGAGATGGTGCCAGGGGGCTTCCACATGCACCCCATGTTTGGAATGTTTGGGTTGTGCAGGTATAAGAAGGTGGCATTGGCACACATAGTCACCCAAGTGTGACATCAGCCAGGCACCTGTGACAGTCCTCACCCAGCCCCTGGGAAGCACCAAGCCTAACCTGAGGTCCTCCAGGCATCTACAGGGCACGGTCCCTAAAGAGCACTGGGATGTCTTGGAGCCCTTCTCACACTGCACGGCCCTGGGAGCTGGCATCTGCTCCCAGCAGGACTGAGTGTGAACCCATAGATGCCCTCCTGCAGCTGCAGCCTCTGCTCAGGCATCCGCCTCTGCGCTGTCCTCAAGGTTCGCTGGCCTGCCTGTCTCTGCCTCAGTTCTTCTGGAATGTCTCCTTCACTTACACCCTGAGAGTAGAGTGTGGGGCACCCGTGGGGCCCTGAGGCTCCCAGTCTTTAGCCCACTCCACCTTCAGGAAGGGAAGAGGGCCTATCTGGAATGAGTGCCTGCCATGTGCCCCATGCTGAACCAGTCTTCTGATGTTGTCTACCTGACCTTTGCAGTGAAAAATTTGCTGTGAACCCCACAGTAGAGATCAGGAAAGTGGGGTTTGGGGTAGGTGCCTGATATCTGGCACCTGGCCAATTTAAGATTTGAACTCAGGTCTGTTTTACTTTAGACCCTTGGGCTCCATCCCCTGGACTACATCCTTTGTAGACTCAGGCAATGGGTGACTTTGTTTTACTGAGGTCCTTAATCCTCCTTCCACCACACCAAAGTACAGGGGACATTGAGCTTTCCAGTGGGCTCCAACCCCAGGACCATAGCTGTCTGTAGCATAGCCTCGCCCACCTGACCTATGTGGACAGCAACTGTACCCAAGTCGTGAGCAAGGGAAGTCAAGGATAGGACAGCTTGGATCCTGGGGCTGAAGTGTCCAAACAGGTACTGGGCTCTAGGGTGGGGCATGGGGCCTGCAGGAATTGGGCTGCAGACAGAGACCCAGGGACTGAACTACAAGGCCAAGAATCCGTACCTTGAAGTCAGCCTTCCAGGTGGCAGTGGAGGACAACATAGTAAGTTTGGTCAGCTTTCTCTCAGCAGTTTGTTAGCTTGAGTCACCTTTTGGCCCAGGCTGCATAGGCTTCCTCTGTGCATGTGTGGGTATCTCTGACCTGACAATCTGCAAGGGTGGCCAGCCGCACGTGTTACCTTTTCTCCATCCAGGAGCTCTTGCAGGATGACCTGTCTTTCCCGACACAGTTCCAAGAAGTCTTCCGAGTGCAGACTCTCATGGAGGGCAGGGAAGAAAGTGAGCTGGGAACAGTCCAGTGCCACCTCGTCGGGCTCACGCTCAGTGTCCTGTGGTGCCAGCTCACCTGCAGCAGCATCAAGAGATATGTCACACAGGAGGGTGTGCAGTGTATCCCTTGTGATCAAGAGGACTTCAAGGCTGGGAGGCAGACTGAGCAGTGTGGATGACTCAGGGTGACCTTCTTGCTTCAGGAAAGGGACACCTGCTTGGCTGTGCGGCATGGCCAACATGCCCTCACAACCACCTTCCTGCAGGGCCTGGAGTGACCAGGGCAACCTTCTGATGTCCACCCCCTCATGAAACAGTCAAGTCTCGAGGCTTCTTCCCAACCTTGCTTTGTTCACTCTGAGCACTGCTGTTCATATTTTCTAACATCTAATGCTTCTTATGTAAAGGGAAATGTAATAAACTATGATCACTGAGAAATGAAGCAACATCACTCACACCCAGAGCTCAGAAAGTAACTGGTCCCATACAGGGAGCTCTTTCTCTATGCCAAAGACTTCTGATGGCCTTTGTCTTTCTAGTCCTGTTAAGGAGCTGAATGCTCTTTTGTCCTTTTTCCACAGATGAAAAACTGGAAGAGGAAGGAGCTGAGCCCTAGCAGCATAGGGAGGTGCCACTGCGCAGAGGGGAGGACCCCAGTCGCAACCGGGCGGCGAGGGAACTCACAGACCCAGAGGCCGGGAGCACTCAGGCCAAAGCAGATTCTTTGGAGAAAATAGGAAATTTGAAATTGTGCATGCGTACATGCATGTGTGTGCATGTATTTGTTTACAACAACATGAGCTCCGAAAATAACCTGCATTCTCGGTGAATCAACACAAGCAACTCCTCCCTGAGAATCACACACACAATGAGGAAGCACCAGCATCAAGAATGACGCCAAGCCTTTTCTGAAAATGCAGGAGATCACAGTTGACTTCTGTATCCCTCACTTTCCTCCTCAAGAAGTCCAGGGCAAAACCAATTACCCTGCGCTCTCCATTTTCATTGTAAGGCATGTTATTTTCTATATGACTTTGTCAGCTACTGAGCATGTATTTGAATTGTTTGGGTGCACTTTTTTTTTTTTTCACTTTAGTACAGGATCTACAAGGTTTCACTATGTAGATTGGACTTGTAGTGATTCTCCTGTGTTCAGCCTCCCAAGTGTTGGGATTACAGGCTCACCACCATGCCCAGCCTCAATCAACATCTCAGCGTGCCCCCACAGGTGAGGTTGGCATGGCACGCCGGGGATTGAACCCTGGCCTGCGCTCTGCCTAAGCAGGCACTTTAATCCACTGAGCTATCTGGCTGGCCTCAGGAGCACTTTTAAAGTCTCCCTGATATAGCAACCCAGAAAAACTATTTCTCCATAAAAACGTGTATTATTCTAAATTCAGTCTTAAGTCCCTGTGCTAACAACCTCTCTAGGTCTGGAACGCAATGAAGAAAGTTTTAGTGCTATTTAGCCTATTTTTACAGCTTTTTCTTCTCCCAAATATTAATTTAATATCTTTAATAAGATAGAAAATAAATCCAATAATTTAATTGTTAAAGGTGAAAGATGGATAAACTAATAAACCCAATACCTTGATTTTCAGCATTGTTCTGTGAAATATCACCCTGCTGGTCTTGGCTCTCCTGAAACAAGAGCAGAAAGAGGAGAAACACAATTCCAGTCCTGCTCCAGAGATGCGTAAACATGCAAACAATCCTGCACATTACTCAAAGCTCAGATGCACCGGGAGAAAACGCTAAATGCTAAATAAGCACAGTAAAATACAAGTATTAATGCTCCCGAGTCAAAGGGGAAAAACCCACAATCTTCCATTAAGTAGAATTACAGTAATTACCAAAGAGAGAGCCAAGACTGGCTGTGCAGCGTGCTGGATGTCTGTGAGCGGCCACCCTAGTGTGGGGGTGCAGGGGACCTGGGGCTGCACAGCCCCGGAGACCAGAGACCCAGCTTCAGGGGCACAGTTCCAGCACACGGCACATTATTTTCTTTTTTTTTTTTTTTCTCCTCAATTCCTAAGAAATGTATGGAGAGAAACATACTCCAAACCACCAGATGCTTATGACAACAGCTTACTAATACTGAATAAGTGAAATACACCTTCCTCATGAGGCTCTCTAGCAAGGTCAGCATTGCAGAGATTTGGGGTTACAGAGAGAGAATAAAGTCAGCTTTGCACCTTGGAGTGGGTGCAGATGGAGGCAGTCCATGTCTGGAAGGCTGCCTTTCAGAACAGTTTAAAGCAGGACTGTTCAACATTGCGAGAGCTATGAACAGACTCTTCTACAACCCCTACCGAATGAGTCTACCTGGCCTCCCATCCCTCTAAAGGTAGGTAGTGCCACATCTGGTGGTCAAAGTCTGCTTCGTCACAGCAAAGTCCCAGTGACAATCAGGCTCATTGCAAAACTTGGTATGAGATTTGTAAGCGCAGGAGTGTCCCCCTGGACTTTAGGAGACAAGAGCATGGCTTGGGGGTTAGGGGCCCTATACGAACTGCTCTCTCATCTGTCCGCACACTCGTCCATCCTTCTGGACTCTAATTACCAGGTACCAGGAGGACTGATGTGTCCTGTTCTTGTGTAAAAGGTCACCAGAATTATCTATGGGACTCTTCTCTGTACCTGTCTATGTTCTCTGTCTCACCTGATGGAAGCATGGGTTGGGAAAGCTGAAGAGCTGCCTGCCCACTCCCCACACGTGTCTGCCCACAACTGTCTCCCCAGCTCCCTGTGCACCACACTCACCTTGCGCCCTTCTGAGCTCGCAGCCTCCCGGGGAAACATGCGCCTGACACGCTTCCGCATGCGAGCAGGGCCCTCTCTCCAGTCCAGTTCCCAGTGGGAGCAGGGTATGGCCTCTTCAGCTGGCTGGCCCCACAAACCCAGCTCCCCAAAAAGCTGCTCCTGGATCCAGGCCCAGGCCTTGGCTGCCTTCACGTTGCTGCATCGCCGCCTCTGAGAAGCAGAAACAGCGACTCAGCCTTCGCATGTGTTCTTCATGGGCAGCTCCACTCCTTCCAGGATGGGGAGACCGAGACCCCAGAAGTGGTAGAGAAAAACACCTTGTAGCTAACACCAGGCCAGGATAAGAGTTTGGTGTGGTTCAATCCCATGTAGGGGAGAAAAAGTCTGGCCACTCTTTGACTCTCAGAGGCCCCAGATTCCTGGCGCAGGGCACAGGGCAGCAGGTCCCAAGGGTTCTGAAACTAATTGTCAGAGTGGATAGGACTACTATTTAGCAACAGGACATGGAATTTCACCAGGTCCTCTGCCCTGCCAAGGGATGACTGGTCCTCTTCCTATCACCTGACCAGAAACAAAAGAGGGGTTGGCAGCCCAGCAGATGGTGATGTGAGTGCTTTATTGTCAGCTCCTGACCACAGAATCCTCACCTGTGGGGTCTGGATGGCATCTAAGGGCCTCTCAACCCCTGATACATTATGATTCTTAAATGTTCAGGAATTCAAGAATGTTCACAAAAACTTATACTTTTTGTCTTAATGAAAATCCTCCCATCTGATAGCTAGGAAGTCTGTGAAGTCTCTGTGTGTGGGCCTTGAGTGTCACACCTTCCGTTGAGTATAATGTAAATCTTTATATGAACGCGCAATGGCCTAAGCTGCTTCCATTGGCCACAGCAAGGCTCTGCACCTCACCTGGCAAGGAAGCATCCAGTTCAGACATGGGAATTGACTCTGCAGAGTGAACTTTGTTCACAACAGTACTACTGAAACATTTCATGTATTTGCCCTAAACTTTAACTTTTCTGAAAATAGAAGCATGAAAGTGCTAGAGACAAGAAGTATAGTCTCAAAAACTGAACATAAACAAGAAAAACTCACAACCCTCATCTGGCTCAGCCATGTACCTGCCTGACTACATCTCTCCATGCAGTGGGCACCATGAGCCAAAATGTCTATTGTCTCCACGGAGACACCTGCAAAGTCACACAGGTGGCCAAGTGAAGACTCTAACCCAGCCTCTGGGTCCTAAAGACACCTGGAGCCTGTGACCTGGAGTACGTAGAAGGGATCTGTTATTTGAAGGATGCAGGATTTCTCCTGCGCTTTTTTCAGTGCCTGACAGAACTTTGTCCTGGGCACTGCAAATCGAGGCTATCTCAAATGTAGAATCATTCTCGGGATTTGCTGGAAGCAGGTCTGGAGGGAGGGGACAGTGCCTCCCTCCAGATGTGCCTCTTGGCATCTAGTGACCTTGGTCACCTTGTTTCCTCAGTTCACCAGCAGCTGGATCGGAAGAACCTGAGCTCCTCATCTATCTCATGTGGTTCACAAGGTCACCACTGTCACTGAACCACGGCTCAGGGAAAGACCAAGACTCTCTCGCAAGCTCAATATGGTGCCACCATCAGCTCACAACGTTAGGACTATGAATGAAGCTGATCCCACTTCAAAACAAGATGATTTTGTGGATCTATGTTTCTTAAATTCATATCCCAAACCCATCACAACTTATACTGGATGCCAAGTGTTTAACAAGGAACCCCAGAAAAATAACAGTTTATAGCTTTCGCTGACTTTTGATCCCCTGAAAGGAATACTCTTTTGGGGGAAAGATTTTAGTCCCCTGGAGATTGTTGCTGGCCCTGCAGTAACACGTTCTTTTGATGTGGGATGAACGATCCTAACCCCCTGGGTCTGCAGCCCAGCTGCACAGTGGTCCTTGAACTCCAAGCACCTGCTCACCCAGGGCCCCTCCTGTGCAACCTCAGGCTGTGCCAATGGACACGTGCTGTCACGAACCTCTGCAGACAGCCAGACACATGTCCCTGAGGAGATTCCTGAGAGGACCAACATTTATGTCACAACAGCAAGTTGCATGTGACCTCAGAACAGAGAATGTCAGATGACCAAGCTGCAAAAGCCCTGGGTCCCTGCAGAGCAGGGGTCCTGTGTGGTACCCAGGGTCAGCACAGTAGAACATTTGCTTCCAGCTCCAGCCACAAGCAACCAAGTACTGCATCTGACACCCCCAAGAAGGGGCCTGTGGAGGCAGCTGTGGATTTTGACTGAGCAGCTGGTTGTGGCGCCACACTGCACCTTCCTGTGGGAGCTCAGTGCTTCCCTGCCTCCAACCCCTGTGCTGGGCTGGTTGGACCCTAGCCCTGGCTTCAGGTTGAGCCAAGCGACTGCACAGGGCTGAAGCTGGGCTGATGGGCGTCGTCCAGGTTGGGCACGGAGGTTTCTGGAAGCTAAGTGGGGCCCTGTTGGGAAAGTGTGCTGCTCCTTAAAAGTGGGGTGACTGCTCCAGACCCCATTATCATCAACAGATGATTACATCTGCATTCTTTTAAACATCAAAATGATGTTCTAAATATTTAAGCACTTGGAAAGTATCCTCATGGGTTAGCTTCAAAATGCTGATTTTTCTTAAAAATACCTAAGCAATGACAAAACTGCACAAATTTCTTAAGTACTGCCCAGACTCTGTCAGGTCCGCAGCTGCAGATGAGCCCTCTGGGAAGCTAGCCCATCCCTCAAGGACAAGGAACCTCCACTGAGGTCCCCCCGCTGAGGTCCCCATGCTCCTGAGTCTGCAGGGTCACATGCACCTCCCTGCTCCCCCAACAGAGGGGTCCACACTTGCTGCTCTGAAGCAGATCTGGACTTTTATAAAGCTCTCCTGTCTAGAAAGGATGCTTCCGATCACAACCAATTCTTCCTGTCTTCCCCTCAGTGGCAACTGAATGTATCAGTTTCATGGCTCATCCTGGACACACCCAGTAAAGCCATGTAGGGCAAGGACTTGTGAGAATTGCGTGGGAGCACAGATGGCACCCAAGAGAGTGTGCTCAGCAGTATGGGTGGGGAGGCACCCACAGTGACCCGATCCAGAGCTCTCCTGCAGAGACTAGACATGCGGTCCAGAAGCCAAGGGCTCATCCCGTTGTGCGCACTTCTTGCCCTGCCCCCTGCTCCTCATCACTCAGGACAGCTGCAGAGGTTTGCTGCTCCCCTGTGTGTCCTGGGTGCCAGTGCCACATTCAGGCATACCCAGCCTTCCATGGGGTAACTAGACAAGGTGACCACTCCAGCTGTTCCCCACTTTCTTTGGTTTCTGGCTCCTGGCTCCAAGTCTCACCCTTTCTGACCCCCAGGTCACTGGGCAACGAGAGTTCTCTGCAGCCCACTAGTGGTGCCTCTTGAGGCAGGCCCTCTGATAATGGCCCATCTGCGGGAACCTCTGTGCCCTTGGTCCCTTTGTTAGGCTTAAGTACCTCTCAGGCAGAGTTGCAGCATCTTAAGCATTACGCTTGCTACTCAGACAGGCTTTGGAACAGAAAGTGTTGAGTGTAAACATGTGTAAGGTTTTGATACTAGATGGTGTGTTCCATAATGAGAAATCACTTTTTACATTTTTATTAATAAAAAGAACACCAACTGGGCCTGGGGAGATTGCTTGGCAGTCTAAGCACCTGCCTGGCAAGTGCAAGGACCCAAGTTCGATTCCCAGTACCACAAGCTGTGCCAGCCCTGTGCTGAGCCGGCCACCAAAATCAAGCATGGTGGCACACATCTGTAATCCCAGAACTGGGGAGGCTGAAACAGGAGGATCACTACAAGTGTGATCTGCATAGCACGACCCTACACTAAATAAATAAATGAATGTTTAAAAAAAGTTAAAAAGAAAAAGAACACCACCTAGGCAGACCTCGTAATGTGTACCTATAATCCCAGAACTCTGGGAAGCTGAGACAGGAGGATTGCAAGTGTGAGCCCAACTGGGCACTTTAGCAATTTATTGAAATCCTGTCTCAAAATTAAAAAGGTCTTAGGATGTAGCTCAGTGTGAGGCCCTGGATTCAGTCCACAGTATTAAACAAAACAAAACAAAACAAAACAAGTAAGCACCACCAAACCAAAACCAGAAACACCTACACTAACCAGCATCTAACTCTTACCATAGCTCAACTCCACGGGGCGTCCACTGCCCACACAGCGCACCTACTCTCCACATGCTGCGGTCTAGTGCTTCCCACTTGCTCTTCTTGCTCTCACGTTGCTGAGAACAAGCCAAGGGCCTTCACCCAGAGCAAATTACTCCCAACCCTTTTGTAATTTTTATTTAGAGATAGGGTGCCACTAAGTCACCCAGCCTGTGCTCAAACTTGTGATCCTCCCACCTCAGCCTTCCAGACTCCAGAGTTATGCTGCTACCTTCCGTCTTACTTGCTCATTAATCTTCACCTCTGGGAAACATTCTCTTGTTTCAAAGATAAAGACCTTGAAGCTCAGACCCCAGGCCTATGCCTAGCCTTTGGCTTGTCTGGGTGGGAGTCATGCTAGACACGACTTTGAAGCACCTGGACCCCTCCTCCCCCCACCCCCACCCCCCATCACAAGCACTGCACAGGCATAAGAACCTAATACCCTACTGGGTACAGCCTGGTCTGTTTTGCTCCCAGCATCCCCTTCATCCTGTCCCTCCCAGCCCAGGTCCTCCTAGCTATTTTCTCCAGCTGACCCATGACTCTCACTCCTTCCATCCTCGAGAATGTCTCACATCTCTCCCTGCCCCCAAACACTCTCCTTCACCCACTGGCATCCCTTCCCCCAGGCCTCAGCTCACGCAGTCACTTGCTGTGATGTTTCCCATTGCAAACTCTGCCAGTACCTGTGCTTCCCTGTCCCCGCCCAGTGCCCATTGTGAGCCCTAACTGTTTCACATAGACCTCGCCTTTAGAGAGGGCCATCTGGCAGCAAGGTCAGGCCTGTATCTTTATACCCCTGATGCAGCTGCACCTTTTACCACTAGCTGAGTGGATGAGTGACAGACAGGCCCGACCCTTGGTGGCTGATCAGCAGGTCCTCAACCCACCACATGCCATGCAGGAAGAACCGAGTACCTGGTGACTACTGCTGACTTCTGCAGTCCAGCACACAAGCCACAGGCTCTCAGGGTCCTTCCATTTGAGGTTTGAGGCGGACCTTGGCCAACTCTGCAGAGGTGGGCTCTGCATCTCACCTGCACATGGTCTCGGTACAGAGATGCGTATAGCTCCTGTCCCCTTCGTCTGCAGTTCTCAATACAAGACACAAAATCCTAGAGGAGAGGGCAAGAGAGAAGCCACAGCTCAGTGATACTTGCAAGTCTAGGTCGGCACTTCCTCAAGCAATCAGCACAACTTGCAGACACGGAATTTGGTCAAGTCAGTCACAGTCACATGAACAGATTTCATCCCTGTGAGCTCACTCACATGCTAATGTATCCCTACACGTGTGCAGGCAGTGTCGCTGGTGTGGGCCCCCCTCGTGGGCTGAACTCTGCACATCCTGTACATGGGTAACTCCACACAGACAGACTTCACCCATGCAGGGATGTGCGCTAACAGAAACACACTCGTGGGCATTAACTTGCACATGGAGAGACTCTACCCTTGCGGTCCACTCACATGCAAAGACATGCACACCTGTGTGACTGTGCCCCCAACCGGGAAGGCTGGATCCACGACGCATTTGTGAATAAGCCGGGTGAAACGACCTTGTCTGAGCTTGAATGGATCCACTACTTGAGATTGGAAATGAAAGCAGTGTGTCTGAGACGCTTCAAGTCTCCACACGTCCTGGCATACTACCCTGCCACTGTTATAAAAGCCCTGGGAAGGGCTTCCATTCCTGATCTTTCTTTAGAAAGCAAAGTTTTCTGCAGTGACAGCAACCAAAAGGAGGTGAAGGGGTAGATGCGTCCAGTGTCACTGCCTTCCACTGCTCCCAGATGGGACCGTCCAGCTCCAGGAAAACCAGCTCAGGGCTCCCATTGAGCTGCACTATGATGAATTTTGCAATTATTTCACTATACATTACAACATAGTATAATGATAATAACAATAATAATAATAATAATAATAATAATAGAAATAAAGTGCACAATAAGTGTAGTGCGACACCCATCCCCCACCCCCCAGTCTGTGAAAATAAATGTCTTCCCCAAAATCAGTCCCTGGAGTCAAAAGGTTTGGGACCACTGCTCTACAATAAAAAATCAAAATCTAATGAAAGAATATGCAACTTTCAGCTAATATAAAATAAAGAGAAACAATGAAAAACAATTGATAATGTGTTGAAAGAGTGCCAAAAAATTTTTAAAAGGCACTACAAATAGAAAGTAAACATTAAAACAGATTAAATTTACTAAAAATATTATTAAGTATATTGAACACAAATGGATTAAGCGCCTCAAATTAAATGTAAACAAAGTCAAGTTTAGTAAAGAGTAGAAGCTAAGTGCTGTAACTGCTGCTTCCAAAAGACACCCCTAAAAACTCCCATAGGAAGTTGAATAGAAAAAGATAAACCATACAAAGCCTAACTGAAAGAGCTCTAAGGCTGTGAGATGGGACATGAAGTAGATTTCAAGGCAAGAGGTGTTCATAGGCAGAAAAGGGATGCTTTATCATAAGGGATAGAAAGCCCTGAAAAAATAAACACTAAGTGGAAACCACCTAATACTTTCTTAAATGCTTTATATGTAAAATGACAGAATTAAAAAGAGAAATCAAGAAATTTACAGTAATAGAGCAGATCATAACTCATCCTTCAGGAATGAACAATGGAAATGAATATGAAAGGCAGAAATGTAGAGTATTTGAAGAACAAAACAAGCAAATGAATTAATCCAAGGCAAAAAATATAGTTTTAAAAAATGTAGTCAAATGGAATAATGACTAAAATTCATCATATAGTGGGACATAAGTATAAAGTAATCTCAAATGATTTAAATTATCAAAAAAAGTATTTTCTGAACATAGTAGAAATAAAATAAAATAAAATATCAAAAATGCTTCAAAATCCAGCAATAATCTCTAAGTAATTCAATGGTCAAATAAGAGAACAAAACGGGCTGGTGAGATGGCTCAGTGGTCTCAAGCACCTACCTAGAACAAGCTCAGCAAAGCACAGGGACTGCGGTTCAATCCCCCAGCACCACATGCCAGCCAGCCCCGCCCCCTTGTGGGCTGAGCTGGCCACACACACACACACACACACACACACACACACACACACACACATAAATAAAAATTAAAAAAAAAAAGAGGACAAAACAGAAAGCATAATGTACTTTGAACTGGATAAAAATATGACACAATAAAACCTATGATACAATCAAGACTCTTTTGGGGGAATGTCAGTAAAAATATAACTATAAAAATTCTACTTATTAAAAATAAAGCTTATAAATTAAAAAATGCATGTAAAAGTTAGAAAATCAAGTTAAAACTACAGAAAACAGAAGGAAAGTTTGTCATGTCTGACCCAAGAAAGACCCTCTCAAGCAAATGTGTTGCCCACTATGAACAACAGGAATCCATCAAAGGGCCCTGCTGCCCCCAGCTGACAGAAGACTGCCTAAAGAAACCCACTGCTATCTCCACCCCTGCATGGATTCTCCTGGGAGCTTGGACCCCAAGCATTCCGCCAAGATTCCCTGGGACCACAGCCCCATCCCCAGCCCTTGCAACGCTCCACTTCTCTTCTGGCCAGCTGCTGAGAGCATTCACCATTTCAGCCTGTCTGTACCCAGACAAAATAAATCCAGCCTTTATGTCACATAGAGCCCATGAGTTTGTGTGGTTTCTCAGATGCCTTTGATAACACAGTAAAAGTAAGAGAAGAAATTAATAAAATAGAATATAAAAATAGTACAAAATCTTTTAAGGACAAAAATTGATTTCTTGAAAGACTAATTACATTTAGAACCCCAAAATGTGTCTAATTAGAAAGAAGCATAAATTAACAGAAACAAGAACAACAAAAGAGAAATTAACAGAGATCCTATAAACATTTTAAGCTAAAGGCTGGCCTCAACTACATTAGCGAGACTTGTCTCCACTAAAAACAGCAGTAAAATAATTGTAACATTATTATAAATAATTTTAAGCTAATACACTCAAAAAGTTGAGAGAACTAGTCCTATTGTCAAGAAAATGCTAGAAGAAAATGTGAAAATCTAAACTGTCTCATTTTTAAACTGAAAGTCCATCCATAAATACAGCTCTTCTGATGAAGATTTCATCCTTGACCATAGCTGAGGGGTGGATGCTAGGAAAAACCAAGAGGAACCAAAAACGAGAACATCAGCAGAACAAAAGGCTCGTGTACACTCTTGATCTTCTTCCATCTCTGTTTATTTGAAATATATGAAGTTATACAAAGGAAAACTTACAAGAATATGTTGTTGGGCTTGTAGCATTTATAAATAGACACGCACAACACTAATGGCACAGAATGAAGGGAAGAGATAAGAGACACACAGGAGTGACATTTCTGTGTCTCACTGGAGCGAATTAGTATGAATGTGAAGCCGACTCTCATGAAGTAAGATGTACATGCAAACCTAGAGCACCACAGAGGAAGGGAGCAGAACTAATGCAGGGGAAATCAGGAGATTCAAAGGCCACATGATAGTAAATTCACTTAATGCAAAAGAAAGCAATATAAGAAGAATATAAAAACTGAAGATATGAGATACATAAAGGACCAAAAGTACAATCACAGACATAAACCCAATCATAGATGTGAGTGGGCTACACAATCCAGTCCAAAAGCAGAGACTGTGAGATTGGATAGAAGAGCAATCAAGACTCAGACATGTGCTGGCTGTAGGGGACACTTCAGGTTCAACCACATAAACAAACTGAGACTGAAAGAATGAGGGAGGACAGATCAGGAAAACAATAACCACAGGATGGGTAAATTAGCTACACTAACAACAGATCAAAGATAAGGTCAGTGATGAACCTCAGACAGAAACCTGAAACTTAGGGCTGGCCAAATAGCTCAGAGGATTAAAGAGCCTGCTTAGGCAGACACAGGGGCCAGGAGTTTGATCCCTGGGCCTGCCATGCAAGCCAGGTCCCCAGGGCGCACTGAGACAGCGAACGAACGAGACTGGGCCTGGTGGAGCACACCCTCTAATCCCAGCATTTAGGAGGTTGTAAACAGGAGGATCACTACGAATCTGATCTAGTGAGACCCTGTATACCTTGTCTAAATACAAAAAAAAAAAAAATTTAAAAAAAGGAACCTGAAACTTCACAGGAAAGAGAAACCTGCAAACCAATATCTGTTAAATTTGAATGTAAAAATCCTCAATAAAATATTGCCAAATTGATTCCAGTAACATATAAGCATCGCATACAGTTACCAAGTGAGATTCAGCTCAGCCCATTTATGATAGATCCACTTAACATTTCAAAATAATGTAATATGCCACAGCAGGAGGGTAAAAAATAAAAATCACACGATCATTTCAATAGACATAGAAAAATATCTGACAAACTATAAAGCCCATTTGTGACCAAAAAAAAAAAAAAAAAAAAAAGTGCCAAACAACCTAATCAATTAGCTAGAGAAAACAGGCACTTTATCAGCCTTATAAAGAAGCTCTCCACTAAACCTATGGCTCACATCACACCTTTGCCAGAAGCTGCAGCTAGCCAAGTCAGAGGTCCATCAACTGATGAGAAACAATGTGATCTATCTATGTACAGAGTATTATTTTACCCTAAAAAGAAAAAAAGTAGTGACAGATGCTGCAACATGGATGAGCTTAAGAACATAACCCTAAGTTAAAGAAGCAAATCTCAAAAAACTATACATTATACAAAATGACCATAGAAGAAAAAAACTAGCTTAGCAGTGGCTCATGACTGGAGGTGAGGGGATAATAAAATCTTTCTGAGGTCATGAAAATATTATTGAATTGACCTTGGTGATGTTTGCACAAATCTGTGCATGTACTAGAAACCACTCAATTATTTACTTTTGGAAAATTATGTCTAAGTAAAGTTGCTTAGTAAGTATGTTTAATGGTACTAAAAAATAATAAAATTCGAAGTGTCATAGCATAGACTCATACCAGGAAAATCTTAAATGGAATAAAAGAAAACAATCCTCCAATGCTGTGAGAGGACTGAAGTATTAGAACTATTTGACAAAGATCTTAAAGCCACTATAAAAAAGGCTTTGACAACCACTAATTAACAGCACATATGGAACAATTAAGGCTCATCAGTCAGTAACTATACCTTCATCAGAGAAATA